GTTATAAAATATTTTATTGCTCCTAGTTAATAAATTTTCTAGATCCGTCACCAGCATAGGTGTTCGGACGAAAACTATAATACATATGCATCACAATTATTTTAATTAATATAAAATAATTTAATCATTTTATAATCTTAATCACCTTAATTAATATATATTAATTAGTCACAATTATTTTAATTAATTTAAATCAGAATACATAACGGCTGAAATTACCTGCATAATAAAATTAGTTTTTTAATAATATATTTGACTAATAAGTTTGAATCATAATATTTATTTGTATAATAACATATTTGTTTTAAAAAAGGATTGTATTATTGCATATAATCAAGATATGTATAAATTTTAATGATTTAATCAACATATATATACTCATTGTAATCAGTAATTGCAATAATTAAATATTAAATATAAGAATATATTTGTATAAAAAATTCAACAATTTTAAGTAAAATAAATAAATATAATAATATATCACGTGACATTTTTTATACAATAAAACTCCTAATGGATAAATAGACATTAATTATCATATCTTCAGCAATGGATCTTAATTGATAAATAGGGTGTTGAGTAGCGGTAATTTTTATAGTATCCAATGAATACTAATCCCTTATAAAATTCAAGTATTGTTGACGTTCAGTTAAGAAAGAAGAAGCAAAAAGCAAAAAGCAAAACATGGAGAAAAATGGTAACATGAGAGCTGCTACTGCCACGGGGAAAACTATATCTCATACAAAACTAGCATCCTTTCTTTATAAAGATACTTCCTTTCTTAGTCCTTGGGCTTGGGATCCCAAATCCTCTCCAACTTCAAGAAAACTAAAGAAGAAGCGCCTTCGTTTTCAATCTGGATCATTTTTTGCTTTTTCGGTAACTTTTCTTTGTTTCTCTTAATTTATTTTAATCTTTTACATGTCATGCATGCATGCATGCATGCTTGGTTTCTATTTTCATCAACAAAGATCAAAACAAGACCATTTTCTATGAAACAAATATTTCTATATTTGTATGAACCAAAATAATAATATTTAAGTTCTTTCTTGGTCACCTTCTGTTATCTTTTAGGTTCTTCTTCTTTTTTTTTCTTCAGGTATTTGACTTTTTGAATAAAAGCAAGGAGAAGAATCCTCGCCTAAACGATTATGATCATCTGTTTGCAAAAGTATTTGAGAAGCTCAGGCTGGAGAAATTAAAGCGGAAGAGTGATCTTGAAGATTATTATTAATTGAAACAGTAGAAGATTTTCCTACACTGACGTTTCTGCAGCATTAGGAATTATCAAGTTGATATCTATAGTGTCACACTACTTTTTTCCTGCACAAAGCAATGCCAGTTCTTTGTGTTTCTTTTGTCATTACATATGGTTGTTTTTAGTTGTTCTTTTCATGTTTTGGAACACAAATTATCCTTGATTTGCATTAATTTGAGGGTAAGACAAACTACCGTTGGATCTTCTTCAAATAATGCACTTTCCGGAATTCCAGTTTTAAGTTGCTTGAGAGCATATATTGAACTTTAATGGTTCACTTCTCTACAGAGTAGCAATTATTGAAATTTAACTGTCAAATACTTTATATTATGTCTGGGGTTTAAATCTTGATTCTAGAAAGAGAATATCTACTTGTGTTATATATATTCTTTGTCTTCGATTGATGTGAGTTAATTATTATTTTTAATGGTAAATACTTTGTAAAAAAAATATAAAAAAATCTATCATAACATCTGGATCTGATAGGTAAGTTAAAAATTTATTTCTATAAATATATGATTAATATTAAGGTTAGGATAAAAAGTTAGTGATTTAGGAATTTGTAGTTTATAGTTAGGGTGATCAGGTTGGAACTTGGAGTTAATATATATATAGAACTGTACCGTGTACAGAGATCAATATAGCAACTAAAGGACGGAGCCAAGGGGGGACCTATGGGTGCCACGGCCCCCCCAACAATTTTAATTTTTTTTTATATACATATATATTACTATATGGCACCCCCTATTTTTAATATAAACTCATATGTATAATTAAATGAATAACCCAAATTTATTTTTTTATTCAACTTTTGGACTTCTGGTACGGCCTGCTATGTGGTATCACTTTGGAATTTTTTTTTTTTTAAAAAAATGTAGCGCCTCATTTGATCATTCCAATTCTCGGCCCCCCAATATTGAAATCCTGGCTCCGTCCCTTAAGCAACTTATTATGAAATTTGAGTATATTATACACACGTCCAGTCCTAAAGTTTATAAAATTCAGCCTGGCATGAATAAACTGAGTAAGATTTTGCTACAAAGCAGTTCCTTTAAGCATATTTTAATGACAAGACAGCAAATATTGACAAAAATCCTATATTTTATGGCTGTGAACGATATACAATGCAGAGATTAGAATGCAGCAGGTAATTCTCTTCCTTAATTATTCATTAACAATCATGATCTAATTTGTTTAAATTATACTTTCAACAAGCGTTTTTGCTCATCTAACTCCATTTCAACATTTTTTGACCTGTGCACAGTAACACCCAATAGTTTTAATGTTTGATTTTATTTAATTTATAATTATGTTGCTAATTTTATAAAAAAATTCTAATTTATTTGATACATGAATTTGATTGTTCTGAATGATTTAAATTAATTTATGTACGATTTTTATTATTGGAAATTATTTGTTTTAATACATGAGATTTAAATATTTTTCATATGAGAAAGATTAATTATGCTTTGAAAGAATAAGAATCAAAATTTAGTTTCTAATAAAAATTTCTTATAACTATTAATTTGGAGCAAGTATTTATATTTGTTTTTTTTAAGTCTTTTCTTTTCCTTAATTATTTTATAGTATTGTAGATTTAAAATAGAAAAAAGATTTAAATTTATAGAGAAAAATAAAAAAGAGAGTAATTAGTACTATTTATGATTTGACTTAATCTTATTGGAACTTTATTTTATCTCTTCAAATTTAAAACAAACCTCTCTTATCTTTTCATTCTCATTCTTCTATCTAGTTAGGGAGAAAATCTTTTCTCTTCATCTTTTTTATTGTTTCTTGTCTAAAGTTACTCTTCTTATTTTACTCAAACTTAAGGTAAATCACTTAGTTTGAGCTTCTTATTCCATCTTCATTTATTTTCGTCTTTTGTTTCTCTTTAACTACTTCAAGTTTGTTCTCTTTATGAAAAAAATTGTCTAGAAATTTGTTTTCTTCTTTTTATCTTGAGAAAAGTTTTTTTAAGGTAAGAAAACCGTTAAACTCTTAATTATTATAATTTCTTTTGATCTTGAAAGAAAAATCTATCAAAAAATTTATGACTACCTTGTTTAAAACGTCACATTCAAAATATGTTACTAAAATATGATTCTTTTATTACATATTTAAATTAGAAAGATTTAAATATAAGAGTGTCTTCTTAGGCGTATAGGTGTGGTGTATATGTTAGTTTAAACATATTTTTGTTAGTGTGAATGTCGTGTATATTTAGTCGTAAGAAATGATTAACTACTAATGCACAATTCCCTCTTCGCAATTCGGTGACGAAGGGGCTTTGTTTCAATGAATGGGTTCCAATTCACTCCAAAATCTTCCAAACAATTATGTTGCTAAGGTTCCTCAACTACAATATTCCTAGAGGAAATGAGGTAAAGGAAGCGTTGCAAAACGACTCAAAATTTAGAGGAAAAACAATCAATAAAGTGATAAAGAAATTAGTAAACAAAGCTGTAACATGCGAATTTATAAAATAACTCAAAAGATAATATACAACTTTAATGATTGGAGACTTTATTTATTTATTTATTTATTTATTTTCATGTAGCAAACAATTTGAATTTAGTCGTTTAACATAGAAAACTACCAACTACCATAAAATTATGGAGATCATGATCTGTGCTCTCTGCTAATTTTCACTCTTCTATGAACAGGTAGACAACTATCTAATGTATATTGATTGAGCTTTGTAAATGGGTCCGAGTTATTCTTAGAAATTCCTTAGTTGTTTGAACTTGTGAGCCTACCTTAATCGTGAAAAGATGAATAGCCTTATTATGCATTTTTTTTTTGTTAAAAAGTGAAGACATTACTTATTAATTGACTAATTACTAAAGATTGTTCTTTCTTCTTATAATAAAAAAATTATTTTAATATTTATATAGATTAAATAATAACAAATTGGTGCCCCTAAAATTGAGTTCTATAGGGTTGCGTGTCTCAACCGTGTTTAGAGACATCTTAGTCATTACTTTTGTATGGATTGATATCATTTTTATTCTCCAAATATCAAAATTATGGAAAACTAATTTTTATTTAATAAGTAATACACTATAAATATAGTGATAAAAAAGATACAGGAAAGAAAAGATAGAGATTCCAAACTTAGGAATAATTGCTCATTTTTGGAAGCATCTAGCTTTTTGAGTTCCAATAATGAGCAGTATGAGATTTTAAATATTTTTATTTTAATTATACACATTTATATGTAAATTACAATATATATTAATAATTAAAAATAATAAAATAAAAATTTAATAAATATTTGTAAGTAAATTAATAAAAAGAATATGTAGATCATAATATATACGTAATAATTTGAAAAGAAATAAACCCTTTTTACTATTTTAGTATAAAATACTCTCCCTGGAGTCTGGAGTCTTGATTCATATATAAATAAAAAAAATATCTATTTTTTAAATAAAAATAAATTTTAACTAATTTAATTTTGTTATTTTATAAATTATTTTTAAATTAAATATGATTATTATTTTTAATAAATATTGTTAAGAGTAGTTTAAAAAGTAAAATTTAGTTTTATATGAAATTAATAAAATTAAATGAATTTAATTAATTTTTTAATACTTGTAAATTTTGATATTTTTATTTATATATGAGAATAGAAGGAGAATATAAAATTCAGTATATAAAAAATAATTATTAAAATTTAGTTTGTTATTATCCCGTAATAATGAGGTGGTAAAAAAACAAAACTCGGGTAAGAGAGAGACAGAGAGAGAATCTTGTTTACGGCAAAGGCAGCAACGCGATGTGAGTGAGTGAGTAGTTTTTCTTTGATTTTCCTCTCCTCTTATTCTCTCTCTCTCTCTCTCTCTCATCTTCGAGCTCCGATGGCGAGCCTGTGGCGCGCGGCGACCGGCATGACGGAGAATCCGCCGGACTATGACGGCGTGGAGTTCTGGTCGAACCCGGAGCGCACCGGATGGCTGACGAAGCAGGGCGAGTACATCAAGACGTGGCGGCGCCGCTGGTTCGTCCTGAAGCAGGGGAAGCTCTTCTGGTTCAAGGACGCCGCCATCACGCGCGCCTCCCGCCCCCGCGGCGTCGTCCCCGTCGCCTCCTGCCTCACCGTCAAGGGCGCCGAAGACGTCCTCAACAAGCCGAACGCCTTCGAGCTCTCCACGCGCTCCGACACCATGTACTTCATCGCCGATTCCGAGAAGGAGAAGGAGGACTGGATCAACTCCATTGGACGCTCCATCGTCCAGCACTCCAGATCCGTCACCGATTCCGAGATCGTCGATTACGATAACAATAACAATAACAACAACAAGCGCTGACCACGCGCTCTTCATCCACGCGCCTCTTTCGGTCAATTCTCCTTTCTCTTTTCCTTTTTTCTGTTTCTCTGTGATTGTGTATATTATTTCTATTGCTATATCAATCGCCGATCGCGCTCGTTCTCGCGAGGAACTCTGTTTATGTACCTGAACTGCTCTCAAACTGTAATGTTTTAGGGTTTTGTGGACTCTGTTTTGGAGCGAACATCGAACCTCTTTTCGAATATATTGCTTTTCAATTTCAACGATATTAGGCTATAATACAGAAATGTACCTCAGACTCGGAGGTTTTCGACGGTGTAAGCTTATTTGGAAATGATTGATTATAGATTTGAGCTTGTCCTCCGGTTAGAAACTAAATTCACTCCTTGACATCAAATTCGACTAATGTCGTTGTTTTCTTGAGATTGAGATCGTCTAGGGTTTGGGCATGTATATATCAATGAAATTGAAAGGTGAACTGTGTAATTTGAGTTTCAATTGTTAGATTATTCATGAGCAGATCGCGTTGCAGAGCGGTTACTTTGAACTCCTTATTCTTTTCTCTCGCTACTCTTAAATCGTATTCCTCGAGAATGGAGAAAAAGATACTCTCCATTTCTTCCGTTAAAAGTCTATGATCTCCATTTTGTTTATTTTCCCAAAATCTTAGTAATGGAAGAATGGTGAGATTGTTGAAGTGGAGGTCGACAGAAACTAGTTACATCACAGTGTAGGAATTGAAATGGTGCAGAAAACAACAGGGCAAGACTTGTCCAATTGAGAATCTCTGGGTGAACGCAACTAATTTCTCTTAATTGTTCTAACATTGCATTACATACTACATGTTTTCTCGAGTCCAATTAGGAATGAATTAAAAAACTATAGGCTCGAAAACTTCACCGTTGTGATCAACTGTTAAACAAAGGATGTTGAGAAGATTCCAGGGCTTAATCTTTTCCAGGGGTTTGCGTTCATCAGCCACCAAAAACTATATAGGATTTCATGGGAACTTAGAGCCCAATGGCAGAAGAAATATTGCCGTATAATTTGTTTTCTTGTAGTGCGAATCGTATTTCTTGTTAGTGTTTTAAGCTTTGCAATTGAATCTGGAATGGTTGCCTCTAGGTGACTTATCTATCATAATATAGTTCGACTGATTAGTTGTCCAATTCCTTCAGGTATCATTCCAGAAATTTGATTATTTCCCATACTAGGCCTGAGATGGGTAGAAAAAAATTGTCAATAAGATCTGGCAATACGCCACAAAATTTTATTGCCCTCCAATATTAGTACTCGCAAGTTGCCATCCAAATCTTTAGCTCTTTTCACTTCCAAAATTATTTCAAGTTTATAACCAATGACAAACCTCTGAACTCTAAGGTCTGTTTAAGCTGCCCAAAATAGGAAGAATTGGCCCATCATGGTTTTTTTTTTTTAACTAATCGTATTTGACCACCCGGATTTATCTAAAAAAAAAGATAATAATTATTCTTCGAAAGCATTAGTAAGGCATTTTTGTCTTTAGACACGTTTGAGTTTATATTTTCGAGAACTAATTTTGAGTTGCTAACAATTTTGTTAAGGACCAAAGTAATACTCAATTTACCCTTTTAGAACTAATTATTGAGTAAAAAGAGAAATAATTACTTCTATAATTCATCCAAAATCCTTTGTGACTTGAGCATCGAGGTTTTTGCAAGTATCACCACCTTCATCCATCACATTTGTCATGCTCAATCTCCATCAGGGAGTAGTTCTTGAGATAAACCATCTTCATTTTAGTGTGCGCTTTTCATTCGGATTGCATTGGATCAGAAACAAATAATATGTAGCTCTTCCAAAACTTGGAGTAGAACATCTACAAATAATTCTTACATCACTCACTGATTCACGACTGTAAAATTTTAGTTTCAAGTGTTCACGCTTGTTCTATTGATTATTTCCAAAGGAATGTAACAAAGAAAGCAAATTTCCGGTGTTTAAATATTATTTAGTGAACCAAATCTCTTGACCATGTAATTATAAGATCTATCCTAAATTCAAAGGTCAACCGGATGCTCTTAAATTTGATTCTAGTTTGTGTTAAAGCAATATTTAATTAGTAAAAATTATATTTTATGAGTATAGGTTAATCTTTGATTATCAATTTTGAGATATTATATGAATTATGTTCATAAAAAAAATTATTTAATGATTTTTTATTTTCAAAATTGAGTTGAGTTAAAATATACCTAAAGATGAATAATAACTTTACAAAATTGCAATGAATATTATAAAACTGTTGGACGATATTTATATAGCGACTGTGTATTTTAATAGAATTTTAGTTTGTGATTTAAGTTTAGCTCACATTGAGCTATTTTTGAGGGACTTTGATCCTCAGAAGCCCCATCTATAGTCTCTCAATATCTATGTAACCTTCCTTCATTTGTTTATTTTCTCCGTTTTTTCCCTATTTTTTTTTTCAGCTTCAGAGACAAAATGATAGAGAATTCATTTTGATTTTTAAGTACTTGTTCGTGTTGTTTTACGTGAAATTCCACCATCTTCTCTTCAAATTAAGAACTTTTTATTTGAGAATAATTCTTGCAAAAGTCATGTTTATGCACAACCAATTATATAATTATGGTTTAAATATGTTTTTAATCTCTACAAAATTAATAATTTTTATTTCGATCCTTTTAAATTTTTCTTTATCTTTTATCCTTCTAAAATTTAAAAATATTATTTTTGATCCTTGTAAAATAATTAAATTTTAATTTTGATATCTAAAATCTAACTTAATTATTTTTAATTCCTAATGATTATTTTAAGATAGATAAATAATATTTATTTTAAAAATTTATAATTTTTTTTAAAAAATTATATATTGTTATGATATCAATAATGATTATAGATATTGTTACATAATTTTTTAATAAATAAAAAATAGTTAAAAATGATTACATAAAAATAGAGATTAAAAATAATAATTTTAATTTTATAAAGATGAAAAGAAAAAATAATAATAATAAGAACTAAAATTAAAACTAACTAATTTTTTTAAGAATTAAATATATATTTAAACTTATAATTATTATATAAATTATACATGTAAAATAAAGATTTAATTATATTTTTAATCTTTCGAATATCATACTGTGTATCACATCTAATTGCAAAGAGACAACCCCCACCCCACCGTTTTTCATTTATGATGAACTCTGATATCATCTCTCACTCTTTATTTTAATATAATATATTTAACGATTAACATGGCTGGCATGGCAACGGGTAGTTGCAGGTAATGCCACTTCTCTCATCTGGTACGAGTATTTATTTAACAAATATTATGAATTATATATATATACACGAATATCTATATTGTAGATATTTATTAAAATATAAAATGTGTGTTAGCGACAAATACCTTACTGTTATTACGTGCACCTTCTGAACTCAAATCAAAGCAACGACAGTGACCGGAAATCAGTGACGGTGGTGGAGATGGAGAGCTTGATTTCGTGGGAAGAAGAAGCTACCTCACATTTGTTAATTTACACGTTGTTAGATACAAATAAGTTTTATATGGATAAAATAAAATAATTTATAAAATATATTTATACTTCAATGATAAAATATTTTTTTATGAGAAAAAATTAAAATAATGCAGACTGTTATTTAAAAATACGATTAAATGAAAAAAAAAAATTTGGTTATGTCTAAAGCTGAGTTATCTAACTACTTATGATTAATATTTTCTAGAATAAGACACTGTAGAGAAGGTGGAAAAACATAGAAAACTACTTATGATTAATATTTTCTTTTTGCCCAAAAGGTCTTTTTTCTTCCCACCCTTTTTCTTTATTCCTCATGCATTATGCATATGATAATATTATTTTCTCATCACTTTCACTCAAGAGATACGTTCATGTGGTTACTACTAGTCAACAAAGACCACTATTCACTAAGTAGGCTAAGTAGAATCGAAGCAGTTCAAGTGATGGATGCAAGAGTTATTCACCTTACAGGCAAACCCCTTAATTTGTTAACACAAAAATGTTAACAAATTAAGGTAGCTTCCGTTTGATTGCTTGCAACTCCACTATCACATCTTTTATGTCCATTCGCTGATTGGGCAATTCTGCGGCACATGCAACTCCAATCCTAGCAAAGGACACCAAACACTCCCCAATGGTTCTTTCCATGACCCTTGTTCCCTCTTCAGCACTGGACACAAGCAAACGTGAATCTACTATCTCTATAATTCTATCTGGAATTGCATTCTCACAGAATTTGTGTAGGCTTAGACCCTCACCAAACATGTTATCCGTTGGTTTCTTTCCGGTCAGCATCTCCAACACAAGAATTCCGTAGCTGTAGATATCTCCTTTTGCTGATACATGCACACCCGCTCCATACTCTGTTCCAACAAACAACAATTTTGACAAAAATGAATGACATGTTGATTGTAAAAATCTAGTACGTAATCATCTAATCATAAACTGTATTATTAAGTAAGATTGTTATTTTTTATAAAAATTACTTAAAAGTCATATTTGAATGGGCGGTTGTTAAGATCAATGTTTAAAGTGTTAAAAGCTACAGACATTGACTTTGTACAATTTGGGAGTAGTCAATAATGAAATACGGCAACAATGATCCTATCTAATCTAAATGACAATGATTTATCTCTAATAAAACACGAACTCAACAATATAACTTATGCTGTTGTCACATGGTACTTTAAAAACATTTTAAAGGATAGAAAGCCATTTACCTGGGGGAACATATCCAATGGTTCCTCTAATTGCAGACGAACTAACCCGATCTCTGCTAGAATGTCCCGTAACCACATTAAGGAGCCTTGCTAACCCAAAATCTCCCAAGTGGGCAACATTGTCATTATCAAGAAGAACGTTGCTTGGCTTAATATCACAGTGAACTACAGGTTCCTCAGAACCATTATGAAGATAATCCAATGCATTAGCAACATCAAGAGCAATATTTATCCTATGTTGAGGGTTAAGATCGAAAATTCTAGACCCAAGCTCTTCGTTGTTGTGCAGCAAACTTTCTAGACTCCCATTAGGCATCAACTCAAAAACTATGGCCTTGAAGTCATTCCCATTATAGTCGATACTTGAACAACAAGTCACGATGTTGAGAAGATTCCTGTGCTTGATCTTTCCCAGAGCCTTGCATTCAGCTGTGAAACTCTTTGACGCCCCACCCTTTTCAAGATTCAACACCTTTACGGCAATAGGTCTTGCAAAATGGAGAAGAGATCCTCCATATACAGAACCAAAGCTTCCGGTCCCTACCAAATTGGATGAAGAAAATCCATTGGTTGCTTCATGCAGCTCTCCATAAGAAACCTTCACGTACCTATTCTCTAGAGACCCTGAAGAAGATAATGTTTTTGACTTTTTCCTAAAGAAATAGATGCTCATAAATATAATGAAAGTGACGAAACCCCCTCCAACTCCAATTACAATGATGATGATGAGTTTCTTTCTAAAAGACCCCTTGAGTTTCTTTGAGGGAAACTTAGAGCATGCTGGGAGCTTCAATTGAGGTATCCCACCACACAGATCCTTATTTCCAATGAGTGATATTGCTGTGACGTTACTAAAGACACCTCCTATAGGAATCTCACCGTAGAGATGGTTAAAAGACAGGTCCAAAGTATTCAGATAACTCAGATTTTGAAGTTCCCCCGGGATTGTGCTTGAGAAGTTGTTGTTAGAGAGGTCTAGGATTTCGAGGGACCTTAAAGAGCCCAAGAAAGAAGGTATGCTTCCATTGAAAAAGTTTCTCTCCAGCACGAGCTCTGTTAACGCAGAACAAGTGCCGAGTTGAAGGGGAATTTCACCTGATAACTTGTTTTCGTATAGATATAATATGGATAGGTGCTTCAAGTTTCCAAACTCCAAAGGAATGGAGCCAGTGAAAGAGTTGTTGGATAAGTCAAGATTTATCAAACCTTCTTGATTGCCAAATGTTCGATTAGGGATATCACCACTCAAGTTGTTGTCAGAAACACCAAATGACTGCATGCGGGTGCAGTATTTGAGGCTTAATGGAATGCTTCCTTCCAATTTATTGGTGTGTAGATAAAGTTCAGACAACATAGTAAGATTGCCGATGGCATTAGGAATACTACCAGACAAATTGTTTTTTTGCACAGCGAATCTTACTAGATGTTTAAGCTTTCCTATTGAATCTGGAATAATTCCCTCAAGGTAATTATCTATCATAATGAAGTTAGTTAAACTGTACAGCTGTCCAATTCCTCTAGGTATCATTCCAGATATTTGATTTATCCCCATACTAAGCCAAGTGAGATGGGTAGATAAATTGCCAATAAGATCTGGCAACATGCTGTTAGGTCCAGAGTAGGCTTAATAGTTACTCACAGCTAAAATAAGAGATGAGTAAAAAAGAGACAAGGGAGAAAATAACCACAGTAAAAATATTATTTACTGAAAGGGAGGAAATTACAACACTTCTCTCTCTATAACTTACTCCTTTGAATTAGGAGACTACTACTACCGAGAACAGATCTCAAGGTGTATAAGAGAGGAAGAGAGAAGAGAAGAAGATTTGGGATGAAAATTATGGTTTTCAGCTTCCCTATTTATAGGAAAGTCCCAATGGCATTTTCGTAATTTCTCCTAAACTTTTAATATTATTTTATTATTATGTGGGACCCGCTTTTGATTTAAAAATCAAAAATCACCGAAAGTGTTTTCGGTGCTGGCCGCCACAGCTGTCTAACATTTCTCCCACTTGAAGATTATGATTAAGTTAATCATATCTTCACACCATTGATACTTCATGTTGCTTATGTCTTCAATAGGCCAAATAAGGATCGACACCATGTAAACTTGTCAGTGTTGACAGGCTTTGTCATTACGTCTGCTATGTTGTCTTTTGTATGGATCTTCTGCATATCCACTTTTCCTTCTTCTACTACTTCACGAACAAAGTGATATTGAATTCCTATGTGCTTTGTCCTGGAATGAAAGGCTGGATTCCTTGCAATGTGCAAGGCACTCTGACTGTCACAATACACAGTAATTTTCTCCTGCTTGTGCCCGAGTTCTTCCAGTAACCTTTGAATCCAAATTGCTTCCTTGCATGCTTGCGTAGCTGCCATGTATTCAGCTTCTGTAGTAGATAGAGCTACAACAGTCTGTAACTTAGACAACCAGCTCACTGCTCCTCCAGCAAGTGTAAACACATAACCAGTAGTAGATTTTCTTTTATCCAGATCTCCTGCAAAATCTGAATCAACATAGCCTCTGACAAAAAACTCCGATCCTTCAAAACATAATGCAACATCTGAGGTTCCTTTGATATATCTAAGGATCCTCTTTACAATACTCCAATGCTCTCTACCAGGATCTGCCATAAACCTACTGACCGCTCCCACTGCTTGTGCAATGTCTGGTCTCGTACAAATCATGGCATACATAAGGCTTCCCACCGCTGATGCATACGGCACTCGAGACATTTCCATCCTCTCTGCTTCGTTGCTAGGACTCATACTTGAGGATAATTTGTAATTGACAGGAAGTGGGGTCGAAATTGGCTTACAGTCTTGCATGTTGAAGCGCCGCAAGACTTTCAATAAATAATTCTTCTGAGAAAGCCAAATCCTCCTGTTTTTTCTGTCTCGGTGAATTTGCATCCCTAAAATCTTGTTTGCTGGTCCCAAGTCCTTCATATCAAACTCCCTAGCCAATTGTGCCTTTAATTCTTGGATCTGATCTTTGTTGGGGCCTACCACCAACATGTCATCCACATACAACAGCAAGATGATGAAATCATTGTCATCAAACCTATTGTAGTACGTACAATGGTCTGAACTCAGTCTGTTGTAACCAAGGCTAATAATGAAGGAATCAAATCTCTTATACCAACACCTTGGCGCCTGCTTTAAACCGTACAGAGATTTGGTCAACCTACAAACCAAGTTTTCTTTTCCTTGTTCTTTAAAGCCTTCTGGTTGGAGCATATATATTTCTTCTTGGAGTTCCCCATGAAGAAAAGCAGTCTTTACATCAAGTTGCTCAAGATGTAAATTAAATGCAGCACACATAGCCAGAACAACTCTGATTGTGGTTAATCGGACAACTGGCGAGAATATCTCGTTAAAATCAATGCCCGCTTTCTGAGCATATCCCTTAACCACCAATCTTGCACGATATCTCTCCACTTGATCATTGCCATCACGTTTGATCTTATAGACCCATTTGCAACCAATGGCTTTTCGACCTTTTGGAAGATCAACAAGTTCCCATGTTTTATTTCTATGTAAGGCCTCTATTTCTTCATGCATTGCTGCCATCCACTGAGAAACATCAGAACTCCTCAACGCCTCTTGAAAGGTTGATGGTTCTCCTTCTTCAGTTAAGAGACAGTACGCATCATGACTTGCCATAACATAGTCTGAATGCCAAGATGGTCTCCTTCTCTCACGTCTTATTTGTTGAACTTCTTCATCATTGGCTTCATCTGGTTCTTGTTCCTCATGCTCTTGTTCTGCTTCAGAGGTGTCATCCTTTTTAGACTTTCCTCCTATCTCCACTATACTGGTGTCTTTGATAGTGCTGTCATTCTCCTGCTCCTTTTGCAGTTCAGTTTCTGCAAAGACTACATCCCTGCTGACAACAACCTTGCGGGCAGTGGGATCCCACAAGCGATACCCCTTAACATTGTCAGCATAACCCAAGAATATACATTTCCTGGATTTTGGGTCCAGCTTTGTTCTTTCTTGGGAGTTGTACATCACGTACACAGGACATCCAAACACATGTAATGAAGAATAATTAGATGGTTTTCCACTCCACATCTCCATTGGTGTCTTTAAACCAATTGCTGTTGATGGTGAGCGATTGATCAAATAACAAGCAGTTCTTACTGCTTCTGCCCAGAAAGACTTGGCTAATCCTGCAGTTCTCAACATAGCTCTTGTCCTTTCTAGGAGAGTTCGATTCATCCGCTCTGCTACCCCATTCTGCTGAGGTGTATGAGCAACTGTAAATTGCCTCTTGATACCCTCTTGCTTGCAGAATGCCAGAAAATCACCATCTATATATTCTCCTCCATTGTCTGTCCTTAAGCACTTAATCCTTTTTCCAGTATCAAGTTCTACTTGTGCTTTAAATTCCTTGAATACTGGGAACACATCTGACTTCTTCTTGATTGGGTACACCCACAATCTCCGGGAATAATCATCAATAAATGATACAAAATATTTTGCTCCTCCCATGGAAATTTCTGGTGATTCCCAAACATCAGAATGGATCAAGTCAAGTATGTGTTTGCTCCTTGTAGTTACTTTGGCAAATTGTAATCTATGTTGCTTGCTTGTCACACAGTGCTCACAAAATGGTAAGGTTACCATTTTAAGCCCTGACAAGAGATTACGTTCCGCAAGAATTTTCAGGCCTCGCTCTGACATATGTCCTAGTCTACGATGCCACATCATCGTTGCCTCTTCTTGACTTATTGCTGCAACTGATGCATCTGCTTCTTGCAACGTTTCTCCCAAAAGCAAGTATAGATTTGATGTGATCTTCTCAGCTTTCATCACCACCAAATTGCCTTTAACTACCTTCAAGATTCCACCTTCAACGTGGATCTTGCACTTGAGATCATCTAGTTGCCCAATGGACAATAGATTCTTTTTCAAGCCCTTCACATGTCGTACCCCTTGAATTGTACGAATAGTACCATCATACATTTTTAATTTGATAGTACCAACTCCAGCAATTTCCAAAGCATGATCATTTCCCATAAATACGGATCCTCCTGAGATTGATTCATAAGTGCAAAACCAATCTCTATTTGGAGTCATGTGCCAGGTTGCACCTGAATCCAATATCCAACATTCATGGAGTTGTTTTTCGCCTCTGGAACTTATTGCTTCACTGTACAAGATTTCTCCATCTTCTTGGGTACTAGCAACACAACCTTGAGAGGTTGACGCTTCAGAATTCTTCCCTCCTCCACTCTTCTTGTGCCAACAATCTTTCTTCATGTGCCCTCTCATGCCACAATTATAGCATTTGAGGTTCTTCCTTCCTCGAGATTTTGATCTACCATGATTTTGACTCCCACTGGAGCCACGTTCCATTGATCTTCCTCTCATCATCGTCAAAGCTTCTGCTTGCTTTGAACTTTCCAGTCTGTCTTCCTTATTCTTTCGCCTGGACTCTTCTTCAAGAATAGCTCCGGCAACATCCTCAAAGGATAGACGACCAACAACATTATTGTTTGTTATGTTGATGATGAGTTGATCATATGAATCTGGTAAACTCTGAAGTAGAAGCTCCGCACGTTCATTTTCCACTATGTTGAAATCAGCTGTTGAAAGCTGAGCAAATAGCGTATTCAGATTGTTGATGTGGTCCGTCACTGCTGTGGACTCACTCATTCGAAGAGTGTAGAGTTTCCTCTTTAAGAATATTCTGGTGTGAAGTGACTTGACCTCGTATAATTTTACGAGCGTGTCCCAAATCTCCTTTGCAGTTGTCTTCTCTGCTATGCTCGACAAAACTGAATCAGCCATTGCTAAGTGCAAATTGGCAACAGCATTGTCATCCATTTCTCTCCACTTTTCATCAGTAATATCTGATGGCCTGCCTTCAATTGCTTTAAGACAGTTGTCTTTTCTCAAAATTGCTCTTATCTTCAATTTCCACAGGGAAAAATTGTTCCCGTTGAACTTCTCTATCTCAAACTTTGCTGCCATAATTTCTTCTATTAAACCGACTTAAGTAACTTCCACTAGAATAGTACCGCCTACTGGAACAATGATAAAATCCAGTAACAAGAATAATTCTTTTCTGATGTGACTGATCAGACAATACTGCAGCCACAGAGCATACTAAGAATTTTCTCCGATACTATACCAATGTACACCACAGCGGAATAATAAACAACCTAGTGGCTCTGATACCACTGTTAGGTCCAGAGTAGGCTTAATAGTTACTCACAGCTAAAATAAGAGATGAGTAAAAAAGAGACAAGGGAGAAAATAACCACAGTAAAAATATTATTTACTGAAAGGGAGGAAATTACAACACTTCTCTCTCTATAACTTACTCCTTTGAATTAGGAGACTACTACTACCGAGAACAGATCTCAAGGTGTATAAGAGAGGAAGAGAGAAGAGAAGAAGATTTGGGATGAAAATTATGGTTTTCAGCTTCCCTATTTATAGGAAAGTCCCAATGGCATTTTCGTAATTTCTCCTAAACTTTTAATATTATTTTATTATTATGTGGGACCCGCTTTTGATTTAAAAATCAAAAATCACCGAAAGTGTTTTCGGTGCTGGCCGCCACAGCTGTCTAACACATGCCACCAAATTCATTGCCCTCCAAAATAAG